TCCCTACATGGCCTAGGCATTTAGGCAATGAGAATGAAATAGATACCCCCTGTCTAGTTTCTTACATATTCCTCTTTGTGATAAGTAATTTCCATTTCCTATGAAAGCAGTATTAGATGGAGCCCAATTGCCCCGACTTCTCTAAGAGGTTATTGGGTGGTAAGTTTTAAAGTTCTTAAAAGTGTCTTTCTGTGTGCACACATGCGTGTGTGTCTGTGTGCAACCAAGCTGGTGTACTTACAGAAATTTCTCAAAATGAAGGGTGTAGGCTAACACGTGTATACAAAGATGTCCATCACCGTATTACTTACATGGGTGAAAATATAGAAATAGCCTCAATATCCAAAAGTAGAAAATAAAGTAAGACATCATGCAAAATTGAAAACAATGTCATAAAATATATTTATTGATCTGAAAACATATTCATCATACTAGTAAGTGAGAGGAGCATGTTAAATATATTCTGGGTGGTCACATTTTTGTAACATAACTTTTTATGTACAAAAAATCTCATATTTGTGTGGTGAAATGGATTCTTTCTATTTCATTCTCATTTTATTTTATTCATATAATTTATAAGAATAAACTAAAAATAAATTCCATTATTTTAAGTCAATAAGCATGAATTATTTATGCAGAAACAAAAACAAATAACAAAACAAAAAAATTGAACTACTTCCAAAGAGTACTTAATCAGTCAAATGGAAGAATCTTTTTTACCAAGTACGTATTAGTGAGGTTATTGGGTGGTAAGTTTTAAAGTTCTTAAAAGTGTCTTTCTGTGTGCACACATGCGTGTGTGTCTGTGTGCAACCAAGCTGGTGTACTTACAGAAATTTCTCAAAATGAAGGGTGTAGGCTAACACGTGTATACAAAGATGTCCATCACCGTATTACTTACATGGGTGAAAATATAGAAATAGCCTCAATATCCAAAAGTAGAAAATAAAGTGAGACATCATGCAAAATTGAAAACAATGTCATAAAATATATTTATTGATCTGAAAACATATTCATCATACTAGTAAGTGAGAGGAGCATGTTAAATATATTCTGGGTGGTCACATTTTTGTAACATAACTTTTTATGTACAAAAAATCTCATATTTGTGTGGTGAAATGGATTCTTTCTATTTCATTCTCATTTTATTTTATTCATATAATTTATAAGAATAAACTAAAAATAAATTCCATTATTTTAAGTCAATAAGCATGAATTATTTATGCAGAAACAAAAACAAATAACAAAACAAAAAAATTGAACTACTTCCAAAGAGTACTTAATCAGTCAAATGGAAGAATCTTTTTTACCAAGTACGTCAAGGGGGTCTTCAAAAATTTCATAGAAAATGCATATTATGAAAAAATGCTACATTGACTTTCTTTTTTTTTGCAGAAAATAAATGTACAATTTAATGCCATTTTCCACAGACCTTTTAAAAGATTCCTAACAGTTGCTAATTTATGAACATATCCTGTGCTAAGCAGTTGCTCTGAGTTCTACAAATTATAGCTTCTAATTAGGTATTTAATTTTGCCCAACTTACCATGAACTCTCACTAAATATTCTTTATCATCATCTCCTGCAGGACTGGATGCCAGACATGTATATCTTCCTGTATCTTCCACCTACGAAATCCAAAAACGTAAATTACACAATGTTAACATGTTGGCTTTGACGATGAGAATGCATATCCACTCAAATGAATATAAGGCTCCAACAATTTTCCTGAAGGAAGCACAATATTATGGGACCAGCAGCTGGCATAATGGCTATGTCGCTGAACTCCCATGTAGTCGACTGCGGTTCAAGTCCCGGACCCAGTGGCTTAAACTCACACTGGGCATGTGTGCATCTCTGCCCAAGATCCCAAGAGAAGAATGGGGGAGAAGGGATTGCAGTGTGGCCACCCCCCCTGGGGGGAGACTTCTCGCTTCCTGTGCCCTATAGCAAAAACCTCTCAAAAAAAAAAAAAAAAAACCTTAATATACTGTTTAAGATTTATGATTGGCACCCTGATATTGAACAGTACTTGACATCTCTATTATATACAAACCTATTGTATTTTTCAAATTGCAAGAGGTGCATTCTCTCACCAGAGAGAGACAGAGGGAGGGTATGTGAGAAAGCATCCCCATGAGGGATAGTTACACCACAACCTCTTCTTCTCTATTCTTCTCTTGGGACTCTGGAAAAGCATGTGCACACGCCTATCACTTTTTTTTTTTTTTTTGAAGCCACTATGTCCAGTCAAACCGCATGACCTGTCATGTGGGCTCCAGCTGCCTTAACCACCACATCACTGGCTGACCCTAAACCTTTAATAAAGTTTTAGTATTTGATGTAAGAAAGTTTTCAAGGTGGGTATATTTAGTCATATTAGAAAAGGCAGAAATACACAGCACCTAGCATGACAGACCAGATACTCATTTTTTAATGCAGAAATGCATATCCATGGGTTTAAGCTGCAGACTGAAAAAGTCCAACTGGAATCTTTCTGAACAAAATGAAGTAGGTTTGTTAAATAAACAGATAAATAACACACTACATTATTAAAAGCAAGCACATTTGCGTCACATCTTGACTTTATTTTTGATACACCTGATGAAACAAAAAGGTTATATTATGTAATCTGGTTGTAAATAGGGTCCGAAGGACAGCCAGATTTTATCATCTGACTAAAACCCAAACCATTGACTTGAAACCCTGCTGCCTGGCTTCTCCTGGAAGGTAGGCTTCATTTATATGTCTGACGTTGTGGGCCACAGCCTGCGCTACACACGTGTCGGTCATATTGTGGAAAACAGATGCTCTTACTACTGTGAGAAGTGTATTTTGGAAAAGTAGACAAATTCTGTTCTCATTTATTTTACTACTTGAACATTCCTAGAACAGTGGGATTTTTAACATTATTACCTTCAAAACTGATTTTATAGGTTATGGAAAAGGTTTTTGGTAGGCTTCGAAAATTCTTTTGAAAAAAAAAATCCAAGGCTAGTATGTTTGGGAAACTATTTAAATATGATTTTTGAAGAACAACTCGCACATGATTATTTGATTAAGAATTCAAAAGGGATCATAATTTTTGAATTTCTCATCATGTCCTGAACACCTTTAAAACCAGATTTAAAAAAAAAAAAAAAAGAAAACATTCTGTTGATTTCTAATTGATATCATCCCCTTCACTTGTCTTGATTTAGGCAAACTTGACTCATCTTTCAAAGCCATTCTTACACTGTGCCTCTCCCAGGAGAGATTTCCTGACAACATATATCCTTCTGAATACTCCAGTTACTATTTATAGTTACAGTTTCAAAAGTGTATTTTGTTAGCAGGGTGTTTGAAAAATTGCAGTGAAGCAGGTAGGTGTCTTTAAGACAGATTTTACGGAGTTGTCCACATGTATGATCATTTAAAAAGGAGGGGAGGTTACAGAACAGAAAGTTTTCCACACTTATTCAGTCAAAGAATGCTCCTCTCTGCCCTTTAGAATAAAGCATGGAACCAGTGTTTGATGGAATATGTTTTAGGAAACTCTTGTCTCAGTCGCACAATATAGAATTTATAAACAACCATCATGCACCAGGCACAACTATACATGTTAGATACCTAAACAAAAAGGCCAAGTCCTGATAAGTAAAAGAGAATGCAGGAAGTGCTATAAAGGGACATGTACTGGCCAGCTCTGTGGCCTGGGGATCAGGGCGGCTGAATCCCACATGTCCAACCACGTGATTCAAGTTCTGCATGTGGTAGTTTGAGCAGCACGCTGGATTCACATGTGTGACTGCCCCAGATCCTAACAGAATGGGGAGATGGAGAAGTGCATGTGCTCACCAGAGGGAGGAAAGAGAGAAAGCACCCCCCATGAGGGATGAAGAAGAAATTACAGTGTGACAATATGCCATGGGAAGGGTTTTCTCCCTCCCCCTCTCTCTCTCTCTTTCTCTCTTTGTCTTTCTTTCTGGTGAACACACACACCCTCTGGCAAAAATTTTGGAAACCGAAAAGATACATGTACAAAATGCTGTGAAAACACAGACGAATAGAGGAACCAAGATCGGCCTTGGGATTTGATCCTATTTAATTTTCCACTTCAATACTGCTTTGAATGGCTCTCTTATTGTTGTGTATCTGAATGTCTCTTCTGTGTAGTTTGTTCTATTTCCAGTGGACACCTGGAAACTTCTTGAAGATAGGGACATGTCTTACAGAAAATGCTTGGGGTCTCCACAAGGGTGGAGCTAGGACACATGGAAAATGAAGTCACCATTGAGCACTCTATGGGATCTTTGTCTTGTTTTCTTGCAACCCAACTTTTCAATCTTGCCTTTATTTATTTATTTATTATTTATTTATTTATAGGTTTTTATCATAGGATGTGTGCACTTGTCAGAGAGACAGAGAGAGGGAAAGTGAGCAATAACCCCCTAGGAGGATGGCCACACTGCAATCCTTTCTACTCCACTCTCTTCTCAGGATTTTGTGCATGCATGTACACATGCCCAGTATGGTTTTCAAGCAACAGGGTCCAGAAGTTGAACCATGGTCAGCCATGTGGGAATCCAGTGCCTTAACCACCTTGCCACACACTTGCCCCTCAGTCTTGCCTTTAAGCCCTCCCATAATGTGATCTTAACCTCCCTTTTAAGCTTTACTTATGAGTATTCCTTTACATTATGATTTCCTGTCTCTATGCTGTTCCTAATGGCACCAAATTATTTACTATAGCTGCTGCTTCTTCTTTTTTAATCTGTTGATGGTATATTATTCAGGGATTTAAATTCAGTAAGTGGCTTGATCATTGAACCTGACTTTCCCCTCAGTTATCGCAATGTTGAAAACAGAGTGGAATGGGTGGCTACGTGGTCCATGATGCAGGAAAGACACTGCACTGAGACTCGCTGGCTAGGCTTCGTAGCCAGACCCAGCTCCATCACTGAGCAGTGATGAGTACCTGGCAAGAACTCGGTCTCTCTGTGCCCATTTCTAGGCCTGTATTTATAGACTAGCATGAAGACATTGCCTCACAGAGTGGTCATGGTCATGGGTGTGACAGAGAACTCAGAGCCCAAAATTGTGTCATAGTTTATAATCCCTAACCTCACTCTGTTTACTTCCTCTTGTCTCAGTAAAAATGCAAACCCATTTGATTAAATAATTTGTTATCCTATATTCAAAGAGATGACAATTATGAGAATAATTACAACAGCAACAAATCTATCTAACTTTTTTTCAAAGGGTTTTTGCCACAGGGTATGTGTGCTCACGAGAGAGAGAGAGACAGATAGTGTTTTTTTAGAGAGAAATCATTCCCTGATAGGAGATGGCCACGCCATAAACCCTTCTTCTCCATTTCCCTCCTGGGATCTTGGGCATACATGCACATGCACCTGGCATGAGTTTCAAGCCCCCAGATCCGGGACTCAAACCGCACTTGGCCATGTGAGAGTTCAAAACCATAACCACCATGCTACCTGCTGGCCCCTATCTAACTTTTTATTTGAATAAGCATTTATAGTAGTCCCTTCCTTATCCACTAGAAAACACTCCAAGATCTACAGTGGATGCTTGAAACCGAGAATATGAAATCCTATAATACTATATTATTTTTCCTATACACGTATATCTATGCTAAAGATCAGTTTGTAAATTAGGCATAGTAAGAGGTTAATAACAATCATTGATAATAAAACAGAAAAATCACTACAATAGTCTTTAACAAAACTTATGTGAAGGTGATCTCTTTCTGTCTCTTAAAATATCTTATTGCCCTGTGTTTGCCTATTTTAGGAACATGGCTGGCCGCAGGCAGTGAAATGGAGAACAAAACCGTGGCTAAGGGGAGGCCAGCACATGTCTGTGGCAGCAGCCGAAGCATGCAATTGTAGGTGATCACTTTAAATCCTATTTTATCCTTAGTTCATAAATGAGGGCCTTAGGACAGAGATGGAGAATATCTGCAATATAAGGCCTTTATTAGAATAGAAGCTTGTTACAATAGGACATCCCAGATGTACTACTCTTTCATACATTCACATTTCAGACTGATTTCCTTAAGCATTAACGAAAAGAACCAGTCAATTTTACTGAACTGATCATTGTTTGAAAACTTGCATCTTGGGGCCAGCCAGTGGCATGGTGGTCACGGTGGCTGAATTCCCACATGGCCAACCACGGTTTGAATACCAGACCTGGTGGCTTGAATCTCACATGAATGCATGTGTGGGCATGCACAAAATTCTGAGAGGAGAATGGAGAAGAAGGGACTGTGGCGTCACCATCCCCCCCAATACTCCCCCCAGGGTGTGTGTGTGTGTGTGTGTGTGTGTGTGTGTGTGTGTGATTTTTCACTTTCCCTCTTTCTGAATCTCTGTGTCTCTCTCCTCTCAGGCAAGTGTATGTGCCCTATGGCAAAAAAGAACTTAAAAAAAAAAAAGAAAAAGAAAAAATCACATCTCTTCAGACTTCCACAATAGCTAATTCATTTTGGAAATCAAAAGCCTCCTTGAAGCCACATGTTGTATGGGTGTGTCTGGATTGCTTTGTGTAGATTCTGCAAAGGGTTAACTGGCACAAGTCAGGGGCTTCAGGAAATATTCTGAAGACTTACAGCACTGGGAAGACTCACAAAATTAATGCAAAGGCACGTGGGTCTCTTTAGAGCTTGAGATGATACTTTCATGAGATCTTTTCAGTCATGTCTCTCCCATCGTTGTATCACAGAACCCACATATCCTTGCTAAAATGACAGAGATCTGAAATATTCAGATTCTAAGATGTAATTTCTTCAGCAACTCTCATATAGTGACAAATGAGAAGTCTAACCTAAGATAAAGAAATGGTGTGAACTTTCACTCTTACCTGAGCACTAGCTATTCGAAGAACTTCTCCTCCTCCTAGAGTTTGTATCTGGTCTCTCTGCGGAAGAGGCCGGCCATCTTTCATCCAGGTAATTTTAGGGGCTGGGATTCCAGAAGCAATGCAGGTAAGTTCAAGCAGATTATTAACAATTACAGAGATCTCTCCAGATTCCTCTGATCCATTAATGTGAGGTGGTTCTATTTCAAAAGAATCAAAAGTAGCAACACAATTAACCTGCCGTTTGATAAAATACTGTTGATGAGAAAAACTTGAGAAGAAAGTCCAATGCAAATTTACAGTCCCATGATATAAAACAACTAGGGCAAGGAGGGTGAAATGACAATGTCTAGATGTCATTACCATGCCTCACTGGCACTCCTTTAGGAGAGATGGATCATGCCTATAAGAGATCATGAAACAGGTAGTATTCCACCATAAGTAATTACAGAACAGTTGGAACTCAGATAATTAGAGCAGTCTCACTTAGCTGTGAAGATTCAGAAACGATAAAAGTAAACCCATTTGGGACCAGCAGTTAGTGTAATGGCTGTGTCGCTGGACTCACATGTAGTCAACTACAGTTCACATCCCGGACCCGGTGACTTAAAACTCATGCCAGAGGTGTGTGTGTGTGTGTGCCCAAGATCCCGAGAGGAGAATGGAGGAGAAGGGATTGCGGCGTGGCGATCCCCCCTGGGGGGTGATTTCTCGTTTTCTATCTCTCTGTCTCCGTCAGTCTGGCGAGCGCACATGTCCTATAGCAAAAACCTCTCCAAAAAAAAAAAAAACTAAACCTACCTTGTGCCACTTTTTTTGAGAGATACTTAGACATATTAGTGCATTTTTAAAAGAATTATTTTATTTAACTTTATTTATGTTAATTTGACTAGAGAGAGACAAGTGACAGAGAGAGAGAGAGAAGGAAAGTGAGAAAGCAAGGTGCCACGACCAGGATTCAAACCATGTCCTCAACCACCACACCACCTGCCGGCCCCTTTAGTGGTTTTTTTCTTTTCTTTTCTTTTCTTTTCTTTTCTTTTCTTTTCTTTTCTTTTCTTTTCTTTTCTTTTCTTTTCTTTTTTAACCTTTTAAATATCCACTGTTTCTACAAAAGCAATGAGTGTCTACTAGGAAAATTGGCTGCCCTCTCTTCCATGCAGAACCTTGAGAGGAAACAATAGCTAAGCAGAAAAAAATAGCTTTGCTTGGAAATTGTGATTTCTGCACAAAACACGTTTGGTGTATCTGGGCAGGAGTAATTTTTTCTTTTGTGACTTACCCAGTACTTCTAAAATGATCTTTCTTAAAAGAAAACAATCTAGATGCTGGGAAGACACATTGAGGTTCCTTAGCCCTACTACTCCCAAATTTAGTACCAACAGACATTCAAGTGTTCTCTAAAACTTCCCTAGTTCGAGTTTCCAGTTTACTATTTCAGAAGGCTGCTAATGTAGCTGGACAGCTCCGGGGGAAGGTCAGGTTGGTTTTTTTACTTTTAAATCAGGCACAGTCTAGAGCAGTGACTCACTGCAGGTCTGAAGTCAGACAGAGATCAAATCCTGGCACTAGCAAGGATTCATTCAGTAGAACTGGCCAAATCCTTAAAATGTGGGTAACAACATTATTTACTTAATAGGATCGTTGTGAGGATTCAATGAGATAAATATACATTTCTTTTGTGTTTCTATAGCTGCTTTATTTTATAATTGTAGGTTTTAAAAGTTACTACTACTGGGAACCAGCAGTTAGCGTAATAATGGCTATGTCGCTGGACTCCCACGTAGTCGACCGCAGTTCGTGTCCCGGACTCGGTGGCTTAAAACTCACGCCGGGCGCGTGTGCGTGCGTGCCCAAGATCCCAAGAGGAGAATGGAGGAGAAGGGATTGCGGCGTGACCATCCCCTCTGGGGGGTGATTTCTCGCTTTCTATCTCTATGTCTCTCTCTGTCTGTCTGGTGAGCACACGTGCCCTATAGCAAAAAAAAAAAACTCTCCAAAAAAAAAAAAGAAAAGAAAAAGTTACTACTACTACAAGCTCTATTACAATTGCTAAGATTATCATTAAAATCTACTTACTAAAAATTTCTGTTAGTTCGGGCCAACTGACGGTTAAGGCAGCTGGATTTCATGGCCGACTACATGATTGAAGTCCCAGACCCAGTGACTTGAAATACATGCTGGGCACATGTGTGTGCGTGCTCACCCAAAATCCTGAGAGGAGAAGCTATTGTGATGCGACCGTTTCCCAGGAAGGGCATTTTCTTATTTTCCTTCTTTGTCTCTCTGTGGCAAACACACTAACTCTCTGCCAAGTTTAAAAGAAAAGGTAAAGGAGGGGGTGGATTTTTTGTTTGTTTTTGCCATAGAGCGTATGTGCTGCCAGAGACAAAGAGAAAGAGAGAGATAAGGTAAGTGAAAAATCACCTCCTCGGGGGAGATGGCCACAATGCAATCCCTTCTCCTCTGTCTCCTCTTGGGATTTTGGATAAGCATGCACATGCACCTGGCATGGTTTTCAAGCCACTGGGTCCAGCACTCAAAACGTTAAGCCAGCCATGTGGGATCCAGTGCCTCAGTGCCTTAACCTCCACACTCCTTGCTGGCCCCCAAGGGGGGAAATTTAATACATGTTGCTTACTTTTTCTTCTACTATAAACAAAGTATGCATATAGAGTATGTATTTTTAATTATTATTATTTTAATAATTATTATTTATCACTTTTTCTCTCCCCCCACCTCTGTACACATGTGCCCTAAAAATTATGTTAGTCTTGTTTTCCTTTCTGAATTGTAATGAAGAAGTCAGCATTTCTTAAGCACTTAGATGATTCTTCTATTTCTTACATATTGCCATCAAAATACATTTTCTTAAATTCAGTTTCCTAATTAAATTTAATTAAAAGATATTAATGGCCCTGGATTATTACTAAAGTGAATGAAAACTCATTATGGCTGACAAGGCTTCCAAAACGCAGTCTTGAGGTATTTTTATAAAATTATTTGCTTTCAGTATACTTAGATGTGACCTAAACTACAAATTGAGCTACTTCACTCCCTCAACAAGCCCAATTTTTTCTTGTTCCTCCCAACTCCTTCACTGAGCACATGGAAGTCCTAATGAGGTTACATTAGCGGCATAAGTTCATGTGTAAAAATCATGAACCTTTTTCATTTTTTTTAAAGAGAGATTTTTCCTATAGAGTGTGTGCTCTTGCTGGAGAGATAGAGACAGAGAAACAGAAAGCAAGAAATCACCCCCAGGGGGTATGGCCACACTGTAATCCCTTCTCCTCCATTCTCCTCTTGGGAATTTGTATAAAACGTGAGCATGTGTGCACATGCCCAGTTTGAGTTTGAAGCTGCTGGGTCCAGGATTTGAACTGCAGTCGGTCCAGTGAGATAACCATTATGCCATCTGCTGGTCCCACAAACCTTTTCTTAATGCTCTCAATTAACCCTAACATGTTAACCCCCTTCAATTTGGCCAGCATATTGTTCATACCACTTATCCGATTCTCCAATTCATATAGTCCGTTCTTTATTTCTCCTACTTATTGGTTATTCACTATGTGTCAGTCCACTGTGGAAATAAAGATTAATATGCATGTTCTTTCCCCTCAAAGTTTACAATCATTAGATTTAAGACAAGCAGCAGTAGCCGCAAAAGTAACAGTAACAAGCTGGTTCGAACTCCGTCTCCAGCTCATACATGTGTTGAGGGATATGAACTATTTTACTCTATGCTTTTGCCTACATGTCTGGTACTCTGGTACGTGACTCCATAATTTCTATTTCTAGCTTAGATCTCTCTTCCAAACTCCAGATCCACAAATGCAGTTATCAAATAAGCATCTCAATTTGGATATTTGAAAATGTCAATAGGTATTCAGATTGACCCTGGTATCTTATTCCTCAAAACCTGGTCCTTTTCCAGCATTTCCTATATCTGTGATGGCCTTTCCAATCATTTAGTCATATATGCCAGAAACTGAGTCATCCCTGATACCCTCTTCTTCATCACTCCCCCATGTCCAAATTCACAACTAAGTCTTAATACTTCCACCTGCAATTATTTATAGAATATGTCTTTCTCTCGCCTCCATCATTCTAGTCTCACCTACAACACTGTTTACTTGAATTAATGCTCCCTCCTGGGTTATAGGAACCAAATTTCCTTCCTCTTACTCTCTCTGCCTCCTGCTACCCTTCTATCCTCCCTCCCTCCTTTCTTCTCTCATAACAGACCCCAGTTTTGTTGGGACTATCAACGTGCTAAAACATTACATTTCCTAGTCTCTTGAGCAGACTGTAGATGGAGCGGCCCGTGAAGATTGTCACCAATGAGATGTAAGTTGTAGCTCTGTGAGGTTCCTAAGAAAGTCTGAGGGAGAAACTCTCTGTCCTTTGCATTTTCCTGCTCTATGGTTATATCTACAGCAGCATGGAGGTATGCTGGGGTGAGCACCCCGTGGGTGATCATTGACCAGCCATGATGGGAAGACCAGGGGCTGCAAACACCTGAACTGCTAAGCCAATGCAAAACTGCCTACTCCAGAAAGCACATGCATGTGAGAATCACCAAAGTGTTTTGTTAAAGTAACACACTTAGACTCTCTATTATTCACAGCCAAGTACAATTCTGAAAAATGCATTGGTTTTTCAGAATTCACTCCTGTCCTGCTTCAAGTGGCTTTCCAATTTGCAGCCAAAGTGGTCTTTCTAGACTGTAGCTCTTCTCACACTATTCCATTTATCAGAACTTCCAATGATTTCTTGTAGTTGAAAGGTAAAATAGGACTTATTAATGATTAATGTGGTCAGGAAAGCTCTTCAGTCCTGGACCCCATCAAATCCTCCTGTTTTTTTTTTTTTCTTTTTTGGATAGGGCGCATGCGCTCGCCAGACAGACAGAGAGACAGAAAGTGAGAAATCACCCCCCAGGGGGGATGGCCATACCGCAATCCCTTCTCCTCCATTCTCCTCTCGGGATCTTGGGCATGCACGCACATGCACCCGGTGTGAGTTTAAGCCACCGGGTCCGGGACATGAACTGTGGTCAACTACATGGGAGTCCAGCGACATAGCCATTACACTAACTGCTGATCCCAAGCCCCCCTGGTTTGATATTCTCCCTTGTTATCAGTGTTCTAGCCACACTGGACTTTTCAGAACCACTAATGTGATACGGTACCTCCCCATGTGGGTAAAATTATATCAGAAACAGTGGCTCCCACATTGGGACATTTATACTCTGAGTGGTAGGACTACACCAATGGAAGAACTTTTGGGTGTTTAATAAAATTAATTTTCAACAGATGCTGAAATGCTGAAACTTCTCATCTTTCTGCTGAGTCAGTTTTCAAATCTGTTGTTAAAAAAAAAAAACTATGTTTGTAAACTCAACTGGGAAGGTTATTCTTTGTACCTTATTCTAATATTACTGACGTTTTTTTCTCCTCCAGTTTCTTCATCCAGAAACACACTGGCCTGTGATTCTGCTTCTGAGTTCCTGAGGTCCTAGGAGAATATTCTTTTTCTCCTCTTCCACTGTGGTATACTAGACCAGCCTCCAGCACTTTCAGACTTGTCTGAATACAATGGCCTCTTCAGTTCATCGCTAATTCTGGCATTGTAGAGGTTTTTGGGAAATGAAATTTGAATGTAACATATTCCCATTTAAGATTATTCTTGCTGGGACCAGCAAATTATGTAATGGCTATGTCACTGGACTCCCATGTAGTCAACTGTGGTTCAAGTTCCAGATCCTGCAGTTTAAGACTCACACCGGGCATGTGTATGTGTGTGCCCAAAATCCCAAAAGGAGAATGGAGAAGAGATTGTGGTGTGGCCATCCCCCCCACAGCGGGTGATTTCTTACTTTCTGTCTCTGTCTCTCTGGTGAGAACACACACTGTATAGTAAAAATATCTAAAAAAAAAAAGATTATTCTTGCCTTTGTTATGAGGTCCCAAAAACTCCCTTAAAATGTCCTCATGACTGTCACAGTTTGGCCCCTGTCAATATATATTCCCTATCTTTTCTCTTACTACTCTTCCTCTCACATTTAGTTTCAGGGACTGCGAATGGACAATCAAGCTCTTATCACCTCTAGTGAGAATTACAGGCGGGACCAGCAGTTAGTGTAATGGCTATGTCACTGGACTCCCACGTAGTTGACCGCGGTTCGAGTCCCGGGCCTGATGGCTTAAACTCACACAGGGCGCGTGTGCGTGCGTGCCCAAGATCTCGAGAGGAGAACGGAGGAGAAGATATTGTGGCATGTCCATACCCCCTGGGGGGTGATTTCTCGCTTTCTGTCTCTGTGTCTCTCTCTGTCTGTCTGGCGAGTGCCCCTGCCCTATAGCAAAAACCTCTCCAAAAAAAAAAAAAAGAAGAAGAGAGAATTACATGCAAAAAAATCTCTCTGCACTCATCCCAGGGCTCAGATTAATCCTTGAGGAGATCTAATCTGAAATGTACCATCCCACAGAATGTTATTTTATTCATATATCTGCATTACACTTAAAAGTAATTACTTGTTCATTACCTGTGTTTTCAAGATGAAAGAACTTGAGGGCTAGCCACATCATTCTTTTTCTTTCTTTCTTTCTCTCTCTCTCTCTCTCTCTCTTTCCTTCTTTCTTCTTTCTTTTGAGAGATTTTTGCTATAGGGCATGTGTGCTAACCAGAGAGAGATAGAAAACAAGAAATCACTCCCCAGGGGGGATGACCATGCCGCAATCCATTCTCTTCCATTTTTTTCTTGGGATTTTGGGCATGTACACACATGTGCCTGGCAAGAGTTTTAAGTCACTGGGTCCGGGACTTGAACCGCAGTCAACTGTGTAAGAGTCAAGTGACATAACCATTATGCCACCTGCTGATTGCCACATCTTTCTTTTTTTTTTTTTTAAAAAAAAAGTTTATTTAAGGACCAGCTGATGGCATACCAGTTGCATCGCTGGACTCCCACATAGCTGACCATGGTTTGAGTCCTGGACCCAGTGGCATGAAACTCATGCCAAGCACATGTGCATGCATGCCCAAGATCCCGGGAGGAGAATGTTGAAAGGACTGCAGTATGGCTATCTCTCTACAGGTGATTTCTCACTTTCCTTCTTGCTGTCTCTGTCTCTTTCTCCCTGGCAAGTGCACACACCCTAAGGCAAAAACCTCTACAAAAAAGTTTATTTTTTATTTCTTCCATGGAGAGAAACAGAGAGAGAAGACAGACACATCAACAGTATGTATAGCGTGTCCATGATGCAAGCCACTCCCTATATCAGCTGGTCTGGATGGTGGGACCGTGTGCCTGGAGTGCTCAGGGGAGGTCCCAGGATGCAAACCCAGGACCTTTCCCATGAGTGTCTAGTTGCATTTCCTCTGTGCCAACACCTGGGCCCAATATATCTTTCTTATTCAGTGGTGCATTCACGTACTCAACACTCATACTGCATTGGGTGGTCATTCCTAATTATTTGTTAAATCGTGACTAAAAACGTGCCTGATACATAATGTATATTCCAGTTGATACTTAATGTAAGTAATTAAATATGCAAGATCACTTTATGCTATCTCCTATTATTTTCCGTAGTCTGTGAATTGATTTACAGGAGCTTGTTACCCAACTCCTTGCACACAAAAAATGTATATCAAAACATTTCTTTTCTGTCTTTTGCCTCTAGGTATCCTGGTATCTCCTCTACGACCACTCTTGATTCTATAGAGGCCCTTCATTCAAAGAGTTTCTCACTTGGTTTAAGGTCCTGCTTCTCTCTACCTTTAAAGCTCCCTGTAATCCAGCTGAAAAGCATCTCATTCAGTTCAGTTCGAGCCAGCAAATAAATACTAAGAGTCTCTGATGCATAGAAGGCCATGCTAAGCACGGTGACCCCAGAAAAAGTGAGATGAGTACTGGCTTGCCTTCCTAAAGATGAACTAAAATGGAAGCAGATTTTCAATGTCACATACATTTTAATAGATGCTCTGAGAAAGATCAGAACACTCTGAAAACATCTACCAGCCGCACCTAAAGATGCTTGCCAGAATTCTTTTTTGCTCTTCTCTGTGCAATATAAAGGAACCTGGGAATTCACCTACATCACTGTGAGAAAACAAACAAAACTCAAAGAAGTCTTGATTATTGAACACGTCTGCTCATTTCTCTCATCCTCCTTTCTCTTCCAAGATCAAAGTTTTTTACATCGAGGAAAAGAGGTCTTTTCTCTCTACGCTGTTGGGTCTTCAGGAAAGCCATGACACGCTTTTGCATAGAAAAACATATAAAAGCACAGCATGACTGTCTCTACGACCTAATATTTGCAAGAAAACCATTGGAATGCATACTTTGAATACTTACTTCAAATGCACACAAGAGTAAATAGAACTACACTATCTGAAATGACTTATTCTGACCATATTCTACAGATTGGATCAAGGAAACACTGTGGAACAACATAGAATGGTGTCAATGACATGCTTTGGATTGAGTATCTATTAGCAGATGTGTTTCCAGTGCATGGGAGAAGTTAACCAGCTACTTATCAACTTGTTATAAGACTTTTTCAGTAAATAATGTTTTACAAGTAAAGGTTTTTATCTTTTCAGACAGGTAAGAAATAAAATTTACATTTTATACGCTTCACATGAGAGCGCATCTAAGTGAATTACAAAAAAAATAGAAATGCAACAGTTTTTTAAATGTTGGCTCATGGAAAATGATGCTAAAAGTCATATTTATTAAGCCTTCACTGTCACTTACCTCCTAATTATTTTACATCTGTCAGCATGTTTACTTACCTAAGACCTTCAGGATAAAGTGCTTGCTGACTTCTCCTGCTTCATTTGAGGCGATGCAGGTGTAACTTCCGGAATCTTCAGTTTCTGCTTTGGTGAGCCGAAGGACCATTCCCTGAGTGCCGACTGTCAGATGGGCATCAAGTCTCAAAGGCTGGCCATCTCTAAGCCAGGACACCCTGGGAGTTGGGGTTCCATCTGTCATGCACGTCATAGAAGTGGGGCTGCCTTTGACAACCGCAATTTCCTCTGTCCCCATTGCATTGTCCATATTTGGGGGTACTACATAGAAAACAAAACAGATAACATTTAAACATCTATTGTAATTTGAGATCAACTCAAATGAAAACATCTAAATAATTCTATAATGCTTCTGTGGTCAATAAAAAGGGATATTTTTAAATGGCATAAAATGATGATTTTCTATAAAACATGTTAGGTATGCTAATTATTCATCTTTTAAATATTAACAATGAAACCTTGAATTTTTCTCTTTTATTTATTTGATTTCTTTCTAGAGAGATATTTTTGATATAGGGCATGTGTGCTCACCGGAGACACAGAGCAAGACAGACAGAAAGCAAGAAATTAACACCCTCAGGGTTGGGGGGGATGTCCACACCACAACCCCTTTTCCTCCATTTTCCTCTCAGGAGTCTGGGCATGTATGCACATGCACCTAACGTGAGTTTCAAGCTGCCAGTTCAACCGGGACTTGAACCTCGGTTGGCTCTGTGGGAGTCCAGTGACATAACCACTACACCAGCTGCTGGTCCCAAAATCGTTTTCTTATACAACACACAATTAACGTGTTTTAAATGTGGGTACTTTTTCAATTACAAATATATAAAATATTTCTAGTAGTATACTTTGAGCTATTTTATGTAGGGTATAAAAAAGAATAATATCAAGTTTTAGAGTAAGTTTTAGGTAATCCAGAATAAATCCCCTGTAGATTAGGGCAAATAGTTACTTGTCCTGAGATGTTCTTGATGGAGAAATGTGGGCCAAATGTGAAACCTCAATATTTCAGAAATTGAAGGTTTCTGAGTTCTCACTATATACATAGATATACACAGAGGTACACATAGCATGCACATGTATCTACCCATATATACATGTACATATATATATATATATATATATGTCTTGTTTTTATTTTGTCAGAGGGCCTGTGCACATGCTAGAGAGACAGGACAGAGAGGGAAAGTGGGAAAGCGCCCCTCGTGGGGAAAGGTAAAGCTGCAGTCTCTTCTTTTCTGTCGCCCTCTCCTTGTGGGACTCTGGACATTCAGACACATGTGCTCAGAGTGTTTTTCAAGATGCTGGGTCTGAAACTCAAACTGCCCAGAAGGCTGTGTGGGATCCAGCTGCCTGAACCACCACACCACGGCTGGCCTACCATCCATATTTTAAATACTCTAAACGAGCTGCTAATATTACTAGAATACAGTCTTTATTTTTCTTTGTATGAAAAGACTAGTCTTGCGCCTGTATTAAAATGCTATTTTTTTCAAATTTTAGGTTTGGGGCCGGCAGGTGGTATAGAGGTTAAGGCACTGGACTCCCACAACACCGACTGCAATTTGAGTCTTGGACCCGGTAATGTGAGGATTACGCCGGGCACATGTGCTTGCATGTCCAAAATCCCAGAGAATTGAGAAGGTATTGAGGAATGGCTATTCCCCCCACGGGGTGGTTTATCACTTTCCCTCTGTCTGTCTCTCTCAGGCAAGTGCACATGTCCTATAGCAAAAACCTTAAAAAAAAATTAAGTTTGCTTTAGTGCAAAATCTCAGGTCAGAAGAGTACTTTGACAGATAACAGTATGGTACAATAAATATGGACCCTTGAGAAACTACATTCTTCTCTAGTTAGTAATATCGTATTTCACGAACGCTTTTTGATAGAGGGAAGTCAAATTTCTAAACGTGTGAGAAAGTCAGCTTGTAAAGAGAAGTCTGTTACTTCCCACTGGACACAGCGGAGAAGGAGGGCCATGTCGTACCAAGCACTTGCAGGCTGTAATGCTTGCTGTCCACCCCGGCTCTGTTGGAGGCCACACACGTGTACACAGCCACGTCCGACACCTGAGCTCTCACGACCCTGAAAGACAAGCATGTCGACATCCCATCCTTCAGCTCCACTCAACATACACACATAAAACACATAGGAACTTCAAAGAGATCTTGGCAGGTGATTTATGTTGGTAAAGTTTAATTATGAAGCCTCTAACTATTCATCCCTAAAAGGTCTTGACGCATTTTTTCATGTTTTCTATACAAAAATGCATCGTGACTTTTCCGATGACCTAATTGGTGCCTGAGATACATTTTTTAACAGTTATTTACTTTTTCCATGAGTGAGACAGGGAGAGAGAGAGGAGGGAGAGAGAGAGAGAGAGAGAGAGAGAGAGAGAGAGGAGAAAACATAGAAGACATCCCCCCGAAAGTCCAACACCTTTGTCCATCCCCAGCCTTCGCCAGCCCCAACCAGAGGCATAAGCATACTCAGGGTGATCTCCAGATGGCACTCTGGAACCTTCCTGTGAGGGTCGGTCTCACATAGTATTGCATTTTACTGCTGTGTCACCACGTGGCTCCCTCAATTGCAATTTATTCTATAACATTGCCTACACAGTGACAAGGAGCCCCTAAAAATATAACACAATTTGAGAGGAGAATATTTTCCATGAAATAGATATGAATAGAGAAGGATGCTGACACGAAAACCATGGGCTCACAGTAGGCATCTTCCTACCATTTTGCCATATACAGTTTTAGCTAAAATGGTAAATGTGGAATCATATATGTGGTAACAAGTATGTCTGTGACCCATTTAAAATAGAAGCATTTAACTAAGAATAAAAAGCCATTTCGGTTTTCTATCTGTCATCCTTTCACTAAAAATATACTGTAAGGAGAGAAAGATGAGGAAACGCTTACGAAAAGCGTTTCTGGAATCCTGGACGAGGGGGAAGTCTACAGTCACAGTCACTTCATCTGTCTAGGAAATCACACGTCATAAAAACTGACCTGATAACCTGCCCTGCAGACAGCAACCGGGTATGGGGAGAGAGCGGCAGAGGAAGTCCATTCTTCAGCCAGTTTATCTGTGGTGGAGGCGTCCCTGTGGCTCTGCATTCAATATTTATTGAAGTATCCACCAACGTCATCAGTTTCTCAGTTTCTTCTTTTTTACCCCTAATTGTAGGTGGAACTATGACATTCAGGAAGAGAGAGAAAGAAGGGAAGGATGTGCTATTAGGATAAATTATTTCAGCTGACTTGTCCACAATCCTGCTTTGTATCCCAGAAGGGAAACAATTGGGAAAACAATGGCATAATGGTTACATTGCTGGACTCCCACGTGGTCGATCATGGTTTGAGAACTGGACCCAGCACCTCAAAACCCATGCTGAGTGCCTGTGCGTGCATCCCAGGAGAAGACTGGAGACTAGAGGAGTAGGATTGTGCCATGGTCATCATCTCTGATTTCTTGCTTTCTGTCTCTCTGGCAAGTGCATGTGTCCAATAACAAAAATCTCTCTCTCTTTCTCTGAAAAAAAAAAATAAGGAAAGAAAGGAAAGGAAAAGAAAAAAGAAACAGTAACTTCTGGACCTTCCTTTCTAGAGATAGGTCCTTAAGAGGATGTAGTCCAAGGAGAGTGATGTTTCATGTTTACCGTAGACATTCAAGTTAAAAATGCGGTCCTCCTCTCCAGCAGGATTTGTAGCTACACATGTGTATTTCCCCATGTCAGATGCGAGGGCTCCATGAATGTTCAACGTTGCTTCCATTTGCTGTCACCCTATGGAAAAAGTCAAACTGGAGTCACAGGGATGACGTGGAGCTAAGGACTGGAAAACTCACCCCTGACTATTGAGTTCTTTAAAAACTATGACCATAAAATGATGCCTTTATCTTGGATCTAGTTGGAATCGATTTCACTAAGTACATGGAAGCCCATTAAAGTCAGAGGTTAGTGACAGCGATGGAGATTGCGGGCAATTAAATTCCAAAGTAGTGGGTCTCACGTTTATCCGCACCTTCATATGCAATCAAAGGAAATGAACCAACTTAGAAATCACTTTAGCCAAATCATAGGCAATGACACCCTTTTCTGAGTTACAATATTGTATTCTTAGTTATCCATATAAGATTGGAATAAAATAAAATTATTAAATTTCTGGTAAGAAAATTGCAAACAACTATAGACAACATAAAAATTAAGAAATTATGTATTAAAAAACTGAGCTATGGGGACCAGCAGTTAGCGTCATGGCTATGTCGCTGGACTCCCATGGAGTTGGCCGCAGTTCAAGTCCCAGATCCAGTGGCTTAAACTTACACAAGGCGCGTGTGCATGCGTGCCCAAGATCCCGAGAGGAGAATGGAGGAGAAGGGATTGTGGCTTGGTCTTCACCCTGGGGTGTGATTTCTCGCTTTCTGTCTCTCTCTGTCTTTCTGGCGAGTACACACGCCCTACAGCAAAAACTTCTCGCCCAAAAAAAGGAAAAAAAAAAAAGAAAGAAAAAACTGAGCTATAAATAACCCTATACTACCTTAATGAGAAGGAACAGAACAGGATAATTTATTTAAACTGTGACAATGTGATATTATATATGGATATATTTTTTGAAATTTTTTACAAATTACTAAAAGTTTTCTTTTGAATTACATAACAATAAATAATAACATTATTAATTAATCATATCTAAGATTATCATGTTATTGGTTCTTTTCATACACCATTAATTACAAAATAAAACTTCCTGTATTTTATGGGATCAAATTGCTATCTACGGTTAGTTTTTCAATAATAATTTTATTAGAATGTGCCTCTAACAAAAATTAAATATTCCCTTTATTCTATATCATGTTATTAAATATGATTAGGAAGAATGAACTATTATATATTTTCTGGCTCTAGTATTATTTCTTTTTCAAAATAAGAATTTTTAATTTCATAAGTTTAACCATATTGATAAAGCAAGTAGCCATGAAAAAGTAAACTAAAAAGTCGACTTATATATATATATATAATAGAACTAGTAAACAAATAATCAACAAAATGGATATAAGAATAAATAAGTTTAGGATGCTACTGTAAGAGAAGAAATGATAGACTATAATAGACTGTAAGAGAAGAAATGATAAATTCCTAGGTACAAATAATTTATAAGATCTTTTGGCCCTACAAAGTATCTAGCACTTGGTCAAGAATTTGGCCAATCTCTTTTATTAAATAGATACTTGTTAATTATTCAGAAATATTCACACCAGAGAAATAAAACTGAAAACGTATTTCTAAAATATTTAGCAAGTGACCCAATTTGTAAAGGGGACAAATATCAGAACAGGAATATACAATGAATATAAAGGGATGACATCTGTCTGTCTTTAAATAATACTTCACTGACTACAACATGCACTCCCAAACCATAATTTATAATACTGGCTCAAAGATAAATTTTATAATACACTTAGTTAATGTCTACTTATGCATGCAGTTTCTCTGGTATTTTTTGTAATAGGGCTTTAAAATAGCATAATCTGGTACAGAATTCTGGATTGCCCTTCCAAGTGGGAAAGAACTAATTATTTTATGATACAGACTTTGGTATAAACATACTGAGAATAAAGAAAAACAAATTAAGAGTCAATTAACATCTTTATGAAAGAGTGAGAGAATTCATAACAGAGTCAATGGATCACACACACACACACACACACACACACACACACTTTTGATAGTCCTTCCAAAGACATTTGTTGCTGAGAGTTGTGGGAGGCCCTTAAACATTTTTATGGTATCTCTTTGTAGTGTGGGTAACAAGTATCGGCTGAAAATGGAATTTGGATAAACAATTCTAAGGAATGAACTGGATTATGCTGTTACTGGATCTTTTCTCAGAATGAGCCAAGCAGTATGGTAGGTATGCCGGTTGATGGTTCCATGACACAAAATCATACCTAGGATTATGGATGAAACTCTTGTAAAATGAAACTAGTTTAACATCAGTAGGACAGAACTAATTATTTTACTATGTAGACTTTGGTATAAATATTGAGACTAGAGGAATAAAACCAATGAGAGGTAATTAACATTTTTATGAATGTGTGAGATTCCATACATTCAATGGATCAAACACAGACACACACACACATACACTTTTGATTTCCTCCAAAGAGAATATCTGTCCTCAACTCTCCAAAACTTTTCTTTTTAAATCTGTGAACCTGATGGTAGGCAAGTCCTAACAAGTTGGAAATTGTTGTTATTATTCATGTGAAGTTTGAAACATAAGCATCGAGAAGACCTTACAATGTATAATGCAAAGATTCTTTATAAACATACCGGATTCTTTCTGTTTTACCACTGGATATGGGCTTTCCATCTTTAAGCCATTGAATAAGTGGTGTGGGAAAGCCATTAGCATTGCAGACCAGCTCAACGTTTTCCCCTAGAAGGACACTGACTTCACTTGGAATTTCAGCACCAGCAACACTCGGAGGCACTTTGGAGAAATAATTAAGATGTTTATTAAGGAGGCACAGGGATATACATTCGAATGCCACAGAATTATAGAACAACATGCCATTTCCATTTCTTTTTACTTGAAAGAGTTGCTTGCACTTGCTGGACAGAGACAGAGAGAGACAGAGAGAGAGAGGGAAAGGGAAAAAGCTTTCCCTGTGGGGGGATAGCCATGTCACAATCTCTTCTCCAATTGTCCTCTTGGGATTTTGTGGTCACACATACATGAATGTGATGTGCTTTCTCAAGTCATCCAGACCAGGACTCAAACTATACAATCAGCCATGTGTGATCCAGCTACCTTTACCAACCCACTGCCATCTGGTCCTGCCATATTTATTTCGTATTTTCCTAGGTTATGGTTCAAGATCAAACTACTGCTATCCTTATGAGTTGCTTTTTTTTTTATTCCTTTTTTAAAAGAATTATTTATTTAATTCTATTTGCTATTACTATCATTATCATTTTAATTTGACCAGACAGAGACACACAGAGAGAGAAAGGGAAAGCGAGAAAGACTGCGGTCCACCATGTGGGAATCCAGCACCTTTAACCAACACACTACCTGCCGGCCCCTGAGTTGCTTTTAAATAAAGAAAGATAAAGAAATCAATTCAATGTTTCTGGTATATTTTTAAGTTGATAATAATTAGTCATAGTGGCCAGTAACAGATCTACTCATAGGCCCCCTTTCTGGCCAAATAAAATCACTCTTAGATGAACTCTTCAATGGATAGTTTAGAATTCATACAGTCCAAGAGAACTGGTTTTTATAAAATCTTGGCATATAGGTCTAAAGAAAGTATCTAAGTTGGTTATCTCTTTCTCTGTTATCCAGTTTAAATATTATTTATTCTGAACACTGGGTAGACATAGCCTAGTTTTCAATATTCAGTAATTTCTGTTCCACTTATCTTGCTATCTTTGGTTTCTATTTTAATGATATTTTTTCAAGAAATAATGTATAATAAAATGATTAACAATGGTAGCAGATAGAAAGACACTTGAATTTGTATTCTACACAATTCTAAGGATGTGCAGAAGCATCTTGCATCGATTGGCAAGTCAGCTTTGTATGCCTTCTCTACTCATGTTCAGTGACATCACATTGGTGGTTTGACGCAGGCCATGGTGAGAATATTTGCACATGGAAACTAGCAAAGGATGAACTATAAATCATGACTTTACTTTCTGGAGAGTCAGTTGTTAAATGTTTACCAGCACATCACTCCAGTATCTCTACAAATCTCATTTTAGCCATCCAGAAGATAACAGTAACTGCATCAAATGTACAGAATTCAGAGTACTGCAGAAGTTGAGTCAATAAGAATGTTGATATGACACTATAATTACTGTCTACTATATGGCAATCACTGAACTATATCCTATATGCATATAGTATTTCTAGTCCTAAAACATAAAAATAATAGGCAAAGTCTGATACAATGTTTAGCCATACCACATATCCTATGATGAGTATCTTTTAAATACAATTAAACATGCAATTTTTGACAGTGAATCTCTGTAGCGATATTTTCCCATCTTTATGCTTCTGAAATCTCAGATAATTACTCATTAGTACAGAAAACCCACTGATAGTCATAACCTATTTTTATTTATTTATTTATTTAGAGAGATTTTTTTTTGCTATAAGGTATGTGCTCTCACCAGAGAGACAGAGAAACAGAAAGTGAGAAATCACCTCCCAGGGGGAATGGCAACACAGAAATCCCTTCGTCTCCATTCTCTTCTTGGAATTTTGGGCATGCATGTACATGTGCCCAGTGTGAATTTTAAGCCACCAGGTTTGGAACTTGAACCATAGTCAACTTCATGGGAATCCAGTGATCTAGCCACTATACCATCCGCTGGTCCCTATTTTTTTTTTTTTTTTTAATTTCAAAAATTTGAGTTAGCTTTAGCAGAACACACAATAGGTAGATAATATTTACAATTGAATTTATAATTTATGAGAAATTCCTTCCTTAGTAACTATGATAAATAAAGAAAAACACAGGTAGCAGTTAGCATGGACATTAAGGCATATGGGTCCCACATGGCCAATAATATGGTCTGAGTCTTGGACCCAGTGGCCTGCAAATGACAGCAGATGTACGGGAATATGTGCACCAAATCCTGAGAGGAGATGGGGGAAAAGGGATCGTGGCATGGCCAACACCCCTGGGGAGTGATATCTTACTTTTTCTCTCTCTTTGTCTCTTTGGCAAGTTCATGTATCCTCTAGCAAACTATTAAATTTTTCTTTAAAAATGAAGAAAAACAAGTATGTTAACTTAGTTTCAAGTTAGACTTCATTTTTAATTTCAATAAAAAAACCAACATTATGACAGAGGTTTATTGAAAACCAAAAGCAAACACATTGTCCTTGCAAGGCTCAACACAATGTGGGAACACAGTAAACACTAATGAAGTATTTGTTGGAGGGGGCAGATGTGGTGGTTAAGGTGGCTGTATCCCATATGGCCAACTGCTTGGTTCAAGTCCCAGACCCGAAGGATTGCAAAACTAGCTAGGCATGTTTGTGTGCATGTTTTCCTCCTCCAAAAGGAGGGTGAGAGGGAGGCGAAGCGACTGTGGCATAACCATTCCCATAGGGGACATCTTCTTACTCTCTGTCTCTATTGCTTCCTGGTGAGTGCACACACCCTTTGGCAAAGTAAGTAAGTAAGTAAATAAAGAAATAATAAATAAATATACACATGTGTGTGCATGTGTTGGATGAGTAAATGCTCTTTCTTCTCATCCCTGGATAGTATGAGTCATGATTACCTGAAATTTACCTAATCTCCAACCAGTGGGTAGACCCTAGCACAGCCTCTTCTGAATGAAATCTTCCTTATCTCGAACCAATTTATGAATAAGATCAGTTCTACAGGCTTAGCAGCAAAATAAATTATGCCAGCTTTAAACAAATAACTGTAAGTCATTTAATATGTGCTTTAGGGAGGCAATAATTTTTTTTTTTTTGGGACAGGTTTTTGCTATAGGGTGCGTGCGCTTGCCAGACAGACAGAGACAGAGAGACAGAGAGACAGAAAGCGGGAAATCACCCCCCAGGGGATACAGCCATACCACAACCCCTTCTCCTCCATTCTCCTCTCAGGATCTTGGGCACGCACACACACATGCCTGGTGTGAGTTTTAAGCCACGAAGTCCAGGACTCAAACCATGGTCAGCTACATGGGAGTCCAACAACATAGCCATTAGGCTAATTGTTGTTCCCAGGGAGGCAATAATTTCATTATAAATGGAGAAAATAAAAATGAGAAAATTTCGAACGCATTTTTGAAATTTATATCCATGGATTTCCATTAAAATAGAATCTATGATAAATGTAGGACAGAACAATGACAATATTTGTGTTTCTCTAAACGTAATCAATCACTGATGATCCTTTTACTTGTAGGTCATTTTATATCAGAGATGGAATTTAATAAGAGAACTGAAGCTAGATCATAGTGTACATGGCATACCTTGAATTGAGAGAATGTAGCTCTTCTGTGCTTTTCCCTCCATATTTGATGCAATGCATGTGTAGTTGCCACTATCAGAACGCTGAGACCGGGCAATTTGGAGTTTGCTTCCTCCAGACAAAATATGAACTTCAAGTGAGTCAGAATTTTCTATGGGTAGAAACAGAGCAAAATAAAACTAACTTTAAAAAGCTTTTTTTTTTTTTTTTTTAAACAGCTATATAATTCATCATAAAATGGTTTTGCTTTACAGGTTAAAGTATATTTCTTAAAGTTCTACCTTTTTACTTTTATTTTAAATGAAAGCCCTTTAGAGAAAGGAAAAGACAGAAGGAAATCCTTTTATAAAATTAATCATTGTTTTTATTTTTTTAAGTAAAACCTTTTCAAGAGAGTGTGTATGCTGGCCAGAGATAGAGGGAGAGAAAGTTAGAGAGAGGTGGAAAGACCAACCTCCTCCTAAAAAAACAGAACACCCTGAGACGTGGTCACGTCTCATCCCTTCTCCTCCATTTCCCCGCCCTGTTGGGACTGGAGGCACACAGGCACACACACACCTGGTGTACTTCTCAAGGTGCCAGGGCCAGGATTTGAACCATGCATTGAAAATATGGGACCCAGTTCCCTTAACTACTAGGCCATGGGGCAGGCCTAGATGAATCATTTCTCTTACTCTCTCTTCTAAATTAATTCATTTATTTTTTTATATATTAAATCACTGTATATCATCACAGCTTATACACTGGATTTTCCCAGCATGAATATTATATATTAATTTAGTTAAAGACATTCTCATACACATTATCATCAATAGATACTTTTCAATGAGTCTATTTCATAAATTTATATTCACATCAGGCCTTTTTTTAAAAAATGTATTTTGATTCTATTCATGATAGTGCATGTAAGCATATGAGAGAGAGGGAGAGAAAAGGGGAAAGAGAAAGAGAGAAAAACACCCTTGACAAGATCTCCAGCTTTTCAGGATCTTGGACATGCTCACAGGTGCTTGGTGTACTTTTAGACCAACCAAGAGATCTGAACCCTGAAGTTAATCAGGTGGCTTCCAGCACTGCAGTTCACTTGGCTGCCAACTGCATTGCCACATCGTGCTTTCTTGAAGTAAACACAGCTACAAACATAATACCGAAAACTGTGCTACTGTATAAATCTTGTGAAGAGCAAAGGAAAACAATCATAAAGAAAGCGTGACTGCGTTACCTATTGGCTTGTGGTTCTTCACCCACGTTATGGTGGGAGGTGGGATGCCCGTGGTATCACAAGCGAAAGTCACAGGATTGCTGATTGTCTCCACAATCGCTTCTTGTTCGGGCCCTTCGATACTGGGTGGCACTGTGCGAAGACAGAAGGAAAGCATGTGTCTTCATTAAACGACTTCGCCATACTTTCTCTCATTTGCATATCTGGGAGAAAAGCAGTTGTATTGGAGGCAGATGCTCACCATATACATTGAGGTGGAAATTTTTATCATCCCGTCCTGCTACATTTATAGCTCTACATACATACTGGCCTGTGTCAGATACCTAAAAGAAAAAGATACTATTGTATGTGCTCCATTACGTCAGAGATGACCAGTCCTGCTCTTTGAGTGGAGATTAAATCATCAGTCATCTTTATGCTCAAACGCCCCAGCGATAAACTGCCTTCTGCCATCCTGCTATTGGTTTTTATGAATTTTTTTTAAATATAATAAGGTCAATGGCATTGGCTATGTATTTTTTTCAGTGAAAAATCTTTTTCCAGATTTTTTATTTATCTTACTGTAATACCGGGAATATGCAGCCTTGGATAGCGTCTTTCATAACCCCACCAAGGGTCACGACACTCAAAAATTAAAGAAGCACCTCGGCCTTCTTGATGTGCAGCATCTGACCATCAGCTAAGATGTCCACGTGAGAAGATCCTGTTATCGTCCGCCCATTCTTATACCAAGTGATGACTGGCGGTGGGACGGCGTTCGACTCGCACTCCAACGACACAGACGATCCCTCTCTTACATTAACTACAGCAAGAGATTCCCCGCCATGGTCTTTAATGCTCGGGGGCACTGAGGAACGAGACAAGAGCAGAAGGAGTTTTGTTCTTCTCATTAAGGGCACAGATAGAAAATAGTGAATACCAGTTTAAAAATAGAAGAACTTCAAAAAGAACGTGAAAACAAACCATAAACAGTCAGGGAAACTTTTTTCTTGCTTTCACCAGCTTGGTTGATAGCTATACACGTGTATTCACCACCGTCAGATACCTTGGCCCGGATAATCTGTAGCGTTCGACCACCTGTGGGAAAATACGGTTGTTTTAATAACGGTCTTGTCTAATAAGAGAAGCAGCAAAACATATCACTTCTCTTAAAGTTTATGTAGAAGTGCTCAGATTCAGCCAGCCCTGGGTCATGGGCGGGTGTGAGCCTAAGATACTCAGGGAAGCCTCTGGACACCAGCCTGCGACCTTCCTGTGTGAAGCTGCCTTCCAGAGCATCATGTTTTATGGCTGCGCCACCATCTGGCTCCCTGAATTGCCCTTATTTAAAATAAAGTAAAAGAAAATATGTTGTAGCATCATGTTTTATGGCTGCGCCACCATCTGCCCCTCTGAAATGCCACTTATTTAAAATAAAGTAAAAGAAAATGTGTCGCCCACCCTATAAGATTAAGACATTCCTTACCGGGCACAATGAGAGCATTTGTGTTTAGCTTGATGGGTTGTTCATTCTTGAGCCAACTAAGATCAGGAGGTGGGAAACCAGAGACCTCACAGGTCAACGAGATGAAATTGTTCACCACAACAGTAAGATTTTCAGGGTTAGGACCAATGATACTCGGAGGAACTATAACAGCAAATACATATTTAATTTGAAATCTGATGTCATAGACAACATATATTCCAGTTTACTAAATGCAATTGTAATCAATGTACTCTGCTAAAACACTGAGTTAATGATTCTGTTAATTCTCTTTCTTCTTAGAATTCTGTAATACTGTCATTAAACTCATGCCTTTCATGTTTGTTTTCGCCAAATGAAAGAGAACACTTTCTCAAAGACAAAGTAATTCTGCATTTTATGTATAATGTATAATTAGAAATTCTTAACATGGTTTTGTGAATGTACAAAGAAAGAACTAATAGTTCTTTTGATCAAGTATATGTGAATAATCTTGTTTATAATATTAAATATTTAGGTAAAGATTTTCATTTCTTCTTTTATCAATAATAGAGTAGACATTTAATTTTAGATACCTGTCTATCAATATTCCTACAATTATCTGGTGACTAAAAATCAATGACTTTCAAGATGAACAGAAACTTTAACAAATAAACAATTTTATTGCTTTCTGTTCAACACCAGAAAAAAATTCAGCATGCAAAAGTGGTGCAGTAGAAAAGTCCAGTGAAGAGCATGAAGTAAATATGGCAGTGCTATTTTTAAATGTTAGAGCGTATTCAGATGGGAACTAGATATTTTGTAAGAACATATGCACAGGGAATAGCATCATACACAGCCGAGCTGTCTACTATGAAGTCAGAGGAAAGTAGGAGAGAGAGGTAGACATAGACAATGAATATGCAGGGGCCAGCAGGGGCTTAGTGGTTAAGGTGCTGGAGTCCCACATAGCCAACCACGGTTTGAGCTCCAGACCTGATGGCCAGAAAATCATGCCAGGTATGTGTGTGCGCGTACCCAAAATTCCAGGAGAAAGGAAGAGAAAGGAATGAGGAGTGGTCATCACTCCTGGGAGGTTGATTTCTCATTTTTCCTCTCACTGTCTCTCTCGCTCTTTCTCTCCCTCTCTCTCTTTGGTGAAATACATGTGCCCTCTGGCTAAAAACAGCAAAAAATATAAAAGAATAAATAGGGTCAGTTAGTGGTATGGTGGTTAAGGCACTGGATTACACATGGCCAACTATACCATCCAAATCCCAGGCCCATAGACTTGAAAAACATACCAGGTGCATGTGCAGGCCCAAAACCTTAAGAAGAGAATGGAGGAAAAGAGATGGTGGCATGGTCATATCCCTGGGGATGCTTTCTCACTTTCTCTCTCTCTCCCTTTCTCTCTCCCACAAATGTATGTACACTATAAGAAATATATATTTCAAATACACACACACACACACACACATATATATTTCAGGTTTTTCCTATGGGGGTGTATATTAACCAGAGACAGAGAGAGAAAGGTAAAGTGAGAAATGACCCCCCCCACACCCCCATAGGGGATAGTCCCACTGCAATCCCTTTTCTTCCATTCTTCTCCTAGGATTTTGGACATACACTCAAATACATCCAGTATGATTTCAAACCACTGGATCTGGGATTCAAGCCACAGTTAGTCATATGGGAATCCAAAACTTTAACCACCATATTACCTGTTGGCCCAATGAATGAACATATTAAGAAATTTTAAAAAAAGAATCTTGGTCAGATCAATGAAAATAACTAGACATGAAATAAAGAATGTAATGCATAAATAAAACACTTAACTGTATATACTCTGTTATATTAAGACCTGGGCCTTAAAACAACATCAAAAGCAAACAGAACATTGGAAACACAAAATTGCTTTTTTCCCTTTTAATGTCATATGGTGTTTTTATTATTTAATTGATCTTACTATTAATTAATTTATTCATTCAGTGAAATTTATTGAATACTTAGTGTACTCCAGACATGCTGGTAGGTGCTGGTGATGTCATGTGAAAAATGCAACTGACAATAACCACAGAGAGTTAATAATCTGTGGTAAGGACAGACATTGAACTAGAAATAACAGCTAGCATTTTCAGAGTGGTTACGCTCTGCTAGGCACTGTTCTAATCACTTCACATATACTGTCTCACTGAATCTTCATACATTTTATGTGTTTGCTGCAGTTCTTATTCTCATGTTACAGATGAGAATGAGCTGAGACACAAACAGCATACCTAAGGCTTCACTGCTAGCTATTATGCTAGAAGAGAGACATTTGGTAGTGGGAATCTAGCTCTAGAACCCTTATTTTTAGCTACTGTTCCTATACTGCAGAGTAATCATAAGTGTGATGTATATCAATCAGACTAGCATAACAACAGGGAACTCACCTAGTTTGGGAAGCAAGAAGAAAAAGTGACATTTAGAAAGATACTCAATATATGACAAGGAATAAACTAATGGAAGATAGGAAACAAGTATGTCTTCTAGAAAGAATATGGAAGATTTATTGCTGAGTGAAGCAAGTCTGGCTATGAAAGAGAGACACTGATGTCTCCATTTAGCATATACTGACTATCTACACTCTGTGGTAGAGACGGAAAGACTGGAGGACATAAAAGCATTGAAAATAGTTACAGACACTGGCGACAGTGTGGCAGGAGGGTGGGAGAGGGGAAGAGTGTAG